TTTTTTTTTTGCAGGTTCGTCCTCCATCGACGTATAATCCGAAGAGAAGAACTCCGGCGGCAACAAATCCGGTGAAAGAAGTGATCCGGACGTGACTTTTTTCGGTGAAAATTGTTTTTTTTTTCCGACAATATTTGTCATTTTTCCGGCCAAAATTAGAAGTAGTAAGTAATGTATGCATTATATGAGGATTTTGGAGTCTAAAAATCATCTTTAATTCATATATTATGGTTAATTTGTTGAGGATTGAATTTTGAATCTTGTTGTTCATATTCACCCTAAATCAATAAAATGATCATAATCTCTTTTTCTTGTTCATTTATACGAAATTGATGCTATTGTTAGGTTATGATAAGTGTTATTAAGCCTAAAACAAGAAAATAAGGTGGGAATTTTCATTGTACCAATATTCTATATTATTGTACCTCTGTTTGTGTATATGTAGTACCACTTTAATAGTTGTTTGGTACCACATGTGCTGGGAATGTGAATTTGTTTTTTTAATTTATCCAATTATTGTTAGATACATGGAAGAGGCACAAAGTGATATACTAGGGAGTTGTACCTACAAGAATGAATTGTTTGTGTTCTCTATGCACCATGGATCAACGCTTGACGAAGTCTACACTCTTATTGCTAAAAGGTGGTCGAATGTTAATTTCCAATCCGTCATGCTATGTTATATTGCGCCAAAAGAAAACAAAAGAGTTAGTTTATCCAATGATGGGGATGTCAAAAACATGATTCGGTTACATGTTTTTTGGAAAATTAATATTGTCGAGATAGTTGCCATTGAAAGAATTGAAAGGCCGAATGATAGAGTTCAATCCATCCAGATGAACATGAATAGGTAATGTTGCTTTCATAATAGTAATTAATTTATTATTGAAATATGGTATAGTCATATCATATCCTAGTTCATTAATTTTTTAAGTGGTTCAATTATTTATAAATATTTGTATTATTTTGTCATTAACGTAGGAAAATTGTATCGTATGATGATTTCTCGGAGGGAGAACATGAGTTGTTGCAAGATAAATCGATTGATTCTTGGAGAACTTGCATAAAAGGAGAGGGGCAAATATTCAATGGGGCCGATGAATTTCGAAAGAGTGTTAAGAACTACGTGATTGCTAATAGCCGGTCCTTTAAATATAAGAAAAATGACAAGCAGAAGGTCATCGTTTGTTGTAGTGATGCGGATTGTGAATGGAGAATATATGCATCATTATACAAAGGTGACCAGTTGTTTGCTATCCGAAAATGCAATCTCGTCCATACTTGTGGAGTGTCCAATCTTCGGACAAGGGGGCATCCGAACGCAGACTCTAATTGGGTATCAAGTACAATCAAAGAAAAATTGCGAGATGAGCCGAGTTACAGGCCTTGCACGATATTGAAAGATCTTCACAGGGACTACGGGTTGGAGTTGTCTTACAAAAAGGCATGGTTAGGGAAGGAAATTGCCATGCAAGATATTCATGGAGTAGACCGGGGCTCTTACGATAGGTTGAGATGGTATAGTAGCGCAGTGCGTGAGACAAACCCCGGAAGCATTGCCGACTGTGAGATTGACTCTTTCGACAACAAGTTTCGCCGACTGTTCATTTGCTTTCATGCATGCCTCGTTGGTTTTTTAACCGATTGTCGACCCTTAATATTTCTTGATGGCACTCTCATAAAAAGTAAATGCAAAGGTTGTTTGCTTAGTGCTGTGAGTAAGGATGCCAATGATGATTTGTTCACTATAGCATTTGTCGTGGTTGATGCCGAGACCGATGAAAATTGGCAGTGGTTTTGCTCGAAGCTGAATAATGGTTTTCTTTCCTCGTGCTTACCTGTTCCTAGAAGCTTCACATTTTTTACGGACCGACACAGTGGGCTACTTAAATCCATCCTATTGGTTTTTCCTGGCAGTCATCATGCTTATTGTTTGAGACACTTAGTCGAGAACTTTAAGAAGCAAGTAAGAAACTTAAATTATGCTTATATAATATATTATAAATTCTATTATTATAAATTCTGTTTATATAAATTCTGCTTATATAATATATTAATATTCTAGTTTTTTTTTGTAGGTGTTGAGGAGTTACCCACTTCATAATAAGAAACATTGGTCCTCGGTTTTTATGAAAGCTGCGTATGCTCCTAGTAGGCAAGATTTTGAGATGCATATAAATAATATATTGATTGCAATGCCTCTTGCTATGAACTTCATTCAAGATTCTAACCCACAATGTTGGGCGAATTCTTTATTTCCCGGAGACCGTTGGGGGATCATCAATAATAATCAAGCCGAATGTTGGAATAATTGGGCAAAGTCGGCACGATTTATGCCTATCGTAGCCATGGTGGATCACATAAGGAAACAAATTATGACCATGATGCATGATCGGCGTGAAGGAGTTTCACGGTTTAATGGTTCATTGTGTCCTAAGCCCGGAAAAAAAAATTGCATCTTGCTACAGTGCATCCCGGAATCTCAAAATCACTCAATCGAGTGAATGGAGGTTTAAAGTTGTTGATGCGGACAAAAGTTGTGACGTGGATTTGCAATCTCGTACTTGTTCTTGTCGAGAATGGCAACTATCTAAGTTGCCGTGCAAGCATGCATGTGCTTGTGTTGAGAGTAAGTCAATGTCCGTGTATGATTTTTGTGATCCATATTATCGTGTTGGGATGTATAGGCAAGCTTATCAAGGTATTATTAACCCTATACCTAACTACGACCATAATGTGGCATCTTTCTCGTTACATCATGATGATGTCATTCGTGCCCCGGATGTACGATCTCAACCCGGACGTAGGAAGGAAAAAAGATTTCCTTCCCAAGTTGATGTTGCGGTTAGGCGGTGTAAGCGTTGTGGTGGTCGTGGACACAACCGACGTACGTGCAAAGAACGTATGTAGATCACTTATGTATTTTGTTTGTATGGGCAGGTATATTTTTGTTGTTGCCCAAGTGTATTTTTGTTGTTGCTCAGGTGTATTTTGTATTTGGTCAGTTGTATTTTGTTGTGTGTCGGAATATGTTTTTTGATGTTATTGACATATTCCGAGTATGTACTGTATGAATATTTTGCGAGTAATGCTACAGTACATGCAAACCATGAATATTATATAAATAATGTTTCATTTTCTTATGCTTTTTAAATTTGCATGGGTACTTAACAACCTAAAATCAGGTACTCTCCTTTTGCAATATAGGTACTAGTTTTGTGGATATATGTGCACTCATTTACATTCCAAAGAGTGGGTAGTAAATAACACTGTACGAGTAATATTTTTTATACAATATACGGGTGTTTCATACTGCAATATAGGTAATAATTTTGTGTAGTTTTAATCGGTGTTTACATTTTCATTCCATAAAGTTGGTACTATATGACCAATTTATAATACTAAACTAACCAAAACTGGTACTATACTAGAGCATTATATGTACCGGATATATGCTAAAATTGATTCTACTTAAATCCTTGACTTATTATAATTATAAAAATTAAAATGTACTTCGTGACTTTATAAATAAATTATATTAAGGATAATCGGCACTAGGATTAATTTTTTAATTAACCATATGTACTCGGAATTTCACTAATTTAATTTTGTGCTTAAAATATTAAATTTAAGTAATTGGATTGAATTCTTGAAACTTAGACAATCCTATTTTACTTGTTGGCTATAAACGCAAGTGGTACTAAATTCGGTGTTTTTACGTGTTCCTTACAAGTGGTACTAAAGACCCGATAATTGGTACTAAAGCAATATAAAACTAGTACTACCTTTCTCTATGGCTGGTACTACTTGTTGGAAACGTTGACCACAATTGAAATAATCCATATTGGTTGACCAAAAGTATGTACTAATTGTTTAAAAACCGGTACTGCTTATAATAAGATGCGGTACTATGTATTCCAAAACAGGTACTATTATAGGAATCGTGATTCCCTTCATGTTAAATCATTTTACGATTTAACTGAAACATGTTAAATCGTGATTCCCTTCATGTTAAATCATTTTACCAAAAGTAGTCATGTATGATGATCCTATGAGATGAAGGGTGTCTTTCAATGAAATGAAGTATAGTAGTAGTGTTTTCTTATTACTACCTATATGTTTTAACTTATTAGTACCTATATGTTTGTACTGAAATAAGAATATTTGAAATCTCGTATAAACTAATGTTAGAGTGATTATGAAATCTCGTATAAATGTCAATTGCGTACGAAATTTGGTGTTTTTACGAGTTCTTTACATGTGGTACTAAAGACCCGATAACTGGCACTAAGGCAGTGTACAACTGGTATTGCCTTTCTATATGGCTGGTACTACTTTTTTGAAATGTTGACCACAATTGAAATAATCCATCTTTGTTTACCAAAAGCAGGTACTATTAGATCGAAAACTGGTACTTCGTAGAAGAAGAAGTGGTACTCTGTCTTCCAAAACAGGTACTATAATAGGAATCGTGATTTAGACAATCCTTCATGTCTACCTTGTCATGTGGATCGTGTACGCGTGATCCGAACGAAAAATATCAGAAGTTAAAACATATAGGTACAAATTGGAGTAGTCATGTATGATGATCCTATGAGATGAAGGGTGTCTTTCAATGAAATGAAGTATAGTAGTAGTGTTTTCTTATTACTACCTACATGTTTTAACTTATTAGTACATATATGTTTGTACTAAAATAAAAATATTTGAAATCTCGTATAAACTAATGTTAGAGTGATTATGAAATCTCGTATGAACGTCAATTGCATACGAAATTTGGTGTTTTTACGAGTTCCTTACATGTGGTACTAAAGACCCGATAACTGGTACTAAGGCAGTGTACAACTGGTATTGCCTTTCTATATGGCTGGTACTACTTTTTCGAAATGTTGACCACAATTGAAATAATCCATCTTTGTTGACCAAAAGCAGGTACTATTAGATCGAAAATTGGTACTTCGTAGAAGAAGAAGTGGTACTATGTCTTCCAAAACAGGTACTATAATAGGAACCGTGATTTAGACAATCCTTCATGTCTACCTTGTCATGTGGATCGTGTATGCGTGATCCGGACGAAAAATATCAGAAGTTAAAACATATAGGTACAAATTGGAGTAGTCATGTATAATGATCCTATGAGATGAAGGGTGTCTTTCAATGAAATGAAGTATAGTAGTAGTGTTTTCTTATTACTACCTATATGTTTTAACTTATTAGTACCTATATGTTTGTACTGAAATAAAAATATTTGAAATCTCGTATAAACTAATGTTAGAGTGATTATGAAATCTCGTATAAACGTCAATTGCGTACGAAATTCGGTGTTTTTGCGAGTTCCTTACATGTGGTACTAAAGACCCGATAACTGGAACTAAGGCAGCGTACAACTGGTATTGCCTTTCTATATGGCTGGTACTACTTTTTTTAAATGTTGACC